AGAGGACATGGAAAGGGCAGAAATGATGTTACAAGAAAGGTACTGTATCTGTAAGGACCCACTGCAATCCCACATCTTAAGAAAGCAGAACTCTTGGAAACAATTTCTTCCAACAGGAACTTTTATTAAGAGTAGTTGATAGCAGATATAATAGACAGGATCTGAGGGATTTCTTTACAGATCGATGCTTTAAAGTGCCCCTAAGCAAAACCCCACCTCACAGACCGGAGAAATAAGACAGGCTCCAGAGGTTTGTATTTCTTCCTCCCCCCTCTTTTCCTAGCTGCCAGGTTAGGGAGAAAAAAGTTCAGAGAGATGTACAATGCAGGAAGCAATTTGTTACATTGTAATGGGCAGCAGACACAGATGCAATAAACAAAAGGTTACATTGTAGTGAATAGAAGAAGTGAAAGCAATCATACCCCCCCTCCCCCTTGGAAGTATGGCAGAACCCAGGGGAAGGTGAGATTTGGTTTTAGATCAGAGGCGATAGATAGAAACGAAATATAAATGGGTTCTGACAGTATCAATGGGTGGAAAATTCCAATTAGGATAAAAGGAGAAAAGAGTGAATTGTGAGGTACACAAGAAATGTACATGTTGTAATTTTCCATTTCTGCTAAATAAATAGGCATATAGAGGCTAAGGTATTTTTAAAAAAGGAGATATAATAAGCTGGAGGAATAGAGAGAAACTATATACACTGACTTAAAGTTTACTTTTAGAATAGTGCACACTATTGTAGAATAGCATATAGTATACTTTATAAAAAAACTTTCTAGAGTTAGTATTTTAAAGTATAACTATGAGCCAAAGTGCAGCCATGTTTAACCGAAGCATGAACTCTGTTGCACACATACTGTAGCTTCTAGATGCAAAGCAGGCATTCTTATAGATAAGCAAGGGAAGACATAAATCTATTATAATTGCAATTATTCAGTTTGGGTAACAGTTCACCTTGTAGATAAGGCTATACCCCGAGTTAGCAGGATGTTACAAATCATGTCACAGAAAAGGGAGTGAAGATAAGACAGGAACAAAAGTGGCATTTGATCTAATAATTGGAGGGTCTGGTAATTGTAATGGTTGCTAGGCGGTCAGAAAGCACGTGACCGGCTGGGCCTATCAACTGGGCTCACTTTGGAAGGATGTGGCGTGATGCACGGGACAGGGTATAAAAACCTATGCAAAAATTGATTCAAGTGTGGACCCTGGGATTTGCCATTACTAAGAGTTCCACCACTTTTGCAAAAGCTTTAATAAAACTTGTTTTGTTTTCCAACACCCTTGGAGTTGAATTTTTATTCCTCACAGCCAGGAGCCTCTGGATTTCAGCTGCCTCCTCCCTGGCCTTTTGGCAGCTCAGAGGCTTAATTCCCAGCTCAAATGGAGTGTGATTCTCTGGGAGGAAAACCCCATGCACAGACCAGCTGTGTGAACGTAACATGCTAGGTTTGATTAGTGTGAACCTGGGTTAGATGATTCTTTGCTTAGTGTAGGCCAGACATGTCCAAAGTCCGGCCCGCGGGCCATTTGCGGCCCGCGTTCCGGTTTAATCCGGCCCTTGAACAGCCCTCCCTGCTCTATGTAAATGCGGCCCTCCCACGGCCCTCCGGCAAGTCCCATGAGAGAGAGAGAGAGAGACAGAGGCACTTGCACTTGCACTTCTGTCTCTCTCTCTCTCTCTCTCTCATGGGACTTGCCCCCTCGCAGGGCTCCTCATTGGCCCTGTGCCCGGGTGCCCTGCCCCCTGGGAGAAGGGCGGCCAGGAAGTCCCTTTCCTGGGCTGGCCCCGTCCCAGGCGCACGTGGCTGGGGAGCCATGCGGGGAAGCCCCGGGATCCCCGCTGGGAGCAACCCCCCGGAGCCT